ATCCATTAAATATCACGAAAGCACCTCACAAAACTTGCAACATGCCATAACTCACCTCAGAACGTTAGCACGTCGGAGCAGTATGCATCACGTGATAGAGCGGCTGTGGCATGCGGGACCTGTTGGTGGTCTGGATAGCATTTGGAGCTTCGCTAGCAACCCGGCATTTCATCTCCGACAAAGTTATCCCCGAGAGAAGTAAAGCAAGTGTGTAAGTCCATCTCTGAATGTTTGTAAAGCATTCCTGCGTTAAGCTTAACAAGCGATATATGGAGCGACTGCCTCTTCTTGCTGCTACTTCAATCATGAAACTGCTTAATGATCAGCTGATCGGCTTTTCTGTCCCGAGTCCGTCTCTCTTGTTTGTTTTTGGCCCACTTTGCACCAGAAAGAGGAAACCAGCGGCTGAACAACAGCAGTACGTTTAAGCTTGATAAGCTGTTGTTAGAATTTATTTATTATTACTTTCTACACCAGGATCTTTTTCTACGTAGCTGACGGCTGGTAACTGTGCAGGGGCGGATCTAGCAAAGTTTAGCCAGGGGGGCCGATAGGGCATTAACAGGGAAAAGGGGGCACAAAGACATACTTTTCTTTCTTATTCTCATTTAAAATGTCAAGCTTTTAATAAATAATTATCTGAATCTTACAACCAAAGTTTTAATTTGATGTACAATGAATATAAGTCCATTACTGTATATAGTGGCTATTAAGTCTAATATATATATACCCTAGTAAGCTATAGTACTTTTTCCTTTGGGAAGGTACCATCTGTGCAGTCTGCAATTTTGTTGAAGAAAGATGTTGAATCTATTTAATATTTTAATATATTGAAAAATAATTGATTTCGGTGCATTTTTTTTTTTCACACTGCATCAAATTAAGGTTGATTACGTCGATTAAGCATCATGAGGTGGAGCGTGAGGGGTGGTTCCCTATTTTTTATTTATTTATTTTTGTTGTTGCTGAGAGTTGGAACCCTATTAGTTAAGTTGCTTAATATTTACGCTAAGTACTCTTTAAAATACCAGAATAGGGAGGATGGTGTAGGTTTGAGTTTATTAGATTGATCAGTATTGCTGAACTATGAAATATGTTTTTTTGCATACAGGTATAACAGAATAGCTTTAGTGTAGTTGTTGTTTTAAACTTGAGTATGAACTTATACAAAATGCAGCAAGATATTTTAAAAAACCAGTTTTGTTGATTAAAGAACACTATATCGGATTCATATCGGTATCGGCAGATATCCAAATTTATGATATCGGAATCGGTATCGGACATAAAAAAGTGGTATCGTGCCATCTCTACTAGCAACCATTGGGCTACCACTCAGGAATGCTTTTTTTCCCCTAGCGACCTTTGGTTTGTGGGGAGGTCACTGACCGGCCTCTAAGCCTGTGTGAGTCTGGCCTAACTTAGGGCGGCGTTCACTTATTTGGCCTGCTCTGTGCTCTTGCATAATCACTTATGTTTTACCCTGGTACTGATCTGCATCTCTCTCAGTATCCAGCCGTCACCCGTGTTGTTTTTTTTATGGTTCTTGGATCTTCCTGTGTTGTTGGTATTCATTATGTGAATCTCGTGCTCTGCGTGGATGATGGTTGTGAGATGGTTAATATCATGCTTGCTCAGATTGTTTGGCAGCGTGAGTCAAGACGAAAGCAGCACCACAAACACGTGCTTGGATTAATCTGTGATAACTCAGTGGTTTAACTGTGACAATGACTGTCCTGCCTGACGTTCTGTGCTCTCACTCACCTTTGTGCCCTCAATGTGGGGCTTTTGTTTTGTTGAAGACTTTAGTGTATGTGACTCATTAGACCCATCAGATATAAAAAGCAGATTAGTCCTGACCCAGTGTCGTTCCTTCCTTCCAGGGTTTCTTCCTGACTGTCTCCTTGGAGTCCATCCTGAAAGTAGCGAAGCATGCTTCCGAAAATAACAAGCTCTTTTGCATGAACCTCTCTGCGCCCTTCATCTGCCAGTTCTTCAAGGATAACCTCATGCAGGTTATGCCCTACGTTGATGTGCTGTTTGGCAATGAGACAGTAAGCCACAGTTCTCACAGTGAAATCTCCACACTAACGTTGATGATTTGCACATATTTCAGATTAACTCAATGTGATCTTTGTTGTTGTTGTTTTCTCAGGAGGCAGCTGCTTTTGCTAAAGAGCAAGACTTTGATGTGAGTAGACTGTTAGACTTTATCATTTACACAAGAGAAAGGCTGGATTTTCTGTGTATTTGTGTATCATCTGCTTTGTGTGTTGATGTGTATTTTGTCTACAGACAAAGGACATTAAGGAAATTGTCAGGAAAGCCCAGGCTCTACCCAAAGACAACAAAAAGAGACAGAGGGTTGTAGTTATTACTCAGGGGAAGGATGAAACGGTTATGGCTCAAAGTAATATTTCCTTCTTTTTTCTCCCATTTCCTGGCATCTGTTTCACTCTGTCTCTTGTCCTTGTGTGGAAGTGAACTGTTTTTCTCCTCGTCTTTCCAGGTGACAAGATTGAAACCTTCCCTGTAGTGAAAACTGACCCCAAATACATTGTTGACACAAACGGTGCAGGCGATGCCTTCGTAGGAGGTAAGAGGCCCCGGTGTTGCTATTTTTTTTGTTCCTTGGTCGATTTGCTTCAGTCTTGAGTCTTCTGTTGATTTTTATTGTGGAAGCCTCTTTTTTTTTTTTTTTTGGCAACACAGGTTTCCTGTCTGAGCTTGTCCAGGAGCAACCTCTGGATCAGTGTGTGAAGGCGGCACACTACGCTGCCAATGTCATCATCCAGCGAGCAGGCTGCAGCTTCCCAGAAAAACCAGACTTCAAGTGAGGACTGGTCAGGAAAGCCTTTCCTTCAGCGTGAAACCTCATACCCACTCTGCCTCCACAACCCCAACATATAAGTTCCACTATTTTCTACAAGTGCAACCCTCAAATGTGTTTTACTTCAAGTTTTTTCTTTTCTTTTAATTTATCCACACATCATTTCTTATCAGTTCTTAGTTCATATGCCCATCTTCCACGCTAAGAACCAAGGGAACTTTTAATGCGTTTAAATAAATTACCATAAAGGAATCATGGAAACACCAGGAAATGTGGTAATTGTCCTTTACAAAAAGGGCTCTAACTATAAAATCCTGCTCTCACGGACATTTGTTTTCTACAGTTTTGAACTGTACTTCAGCTTTGACATTTCTTGCATGTGGATGCACTGACACCCATCAGACTCTCGTGGAAAAACCATGTCAACATCGTGTGAGTCTGTTTTATGTTTTTTGTGTGTTATTTTGTCCCCTTGGAGACAAGAGTCCAAGCACAAACAGCTACAGCAACAGGAGGATGCATTTACACACACACAGGACTAAATAATAAAACCCCGATGAGGTTTTGAATGCGGCTCAGAAATGTGCTGCAGTGATTTATTTGATTATGTTATGATTTAGCATTCACAAAATGCCCGTTGTGAATCAAATGGCATTTTAAGTGTACATTTATTTATTTTTTTTAAATGTATCAAGGCCTCTGCCTATTAAGTTGTGTGAAAGCTGCAAAATGTTGATTATGTCAGTGCTATTCAAACGTTACCGGCATCAAATAATGAGTGCCTTTCTTTCTCCCTAGCAGTTTGCAGGCTTGATGGGCAGAGGCCTGGGGATGTTATATGAGCCTGCAGGGAAACTTGTAAGCTTGTGAGAGTATTGATGTATAAGCATGACCTCCCTTCTATATATAATGCGTTTCTGGGAATCCATCATTATATTTGGGGGTTCTCTGCCAGAAGAATACAGTGGGCATTAAAGCAGACTTTTTCTCTCAGTTGATTTATTTATTTTTTCAATTGACTTAACATTCTCCTGCATTGTCATGGCAAACCCTCGGGGCAATTCTGTTAAATCATTTTTTAAAAATAACTATTTTTTTCCATTTTTTTATCAAATCTGTTTTCTCGAGTAATAAATAAAGATTCATAAGAAATTGGAGGAAAATCGTATCTGGGGCCAAGTGTTATAAACCGTCTGTATTAATGTCTGTGCTGTGATTCATACACTGGTGAGATAAACGCTGAATACTTGAATATAACTTTATTCAAAGTTTATGTAAAAGGTAAGAAATATGTGTAGGACTAAATACTGTAAGAGGTGTTGTCAAATCTGTATCTGGTTGGACTGAATCATTGGTCACTGTCCCTAAATTTCATGGCTTCCTTCACATGTTCAGATACACCAAAAAAGCCTTATAACCTGTTTGTTCCTACTGTCAACAATTTTCAGTTTGCCCATCATTGTGGTAAATTTTGAAATTAAAAAATAAACAGATTTTATCATAGATGTTTTTCTGTGTCTCATATTTTTTATATAATGTGAAGTGCACCTCATATTTCAGAGGTTTCTCTCATGGCTCGTTATGGCCTCCTTTCTTTATGTAGAAGAGTTTGGATAATACCTAAAACAAAGGTTTTTTTTTCTCTTCAGTTGCTGTAACTAACACTTTGTTTTTGTGGTCAAAAGGTTTTGAGCCACTCCCTGAGATCTTGTAATACATTTGCAGTACTCACTAACTTTCTGCAGATGGCAACAAAATTCTGTCTGCTGTTGGTCTGCAGGAATCATTCTGCAGGGTTCTGGCAGTGTGTTTGGCATCAATATACTAAAAAATGAAGCAGTTGGTTCATAATTTCTTCATTTCTTTAAAGATTGCAGCAGATTCAAATAAAAAAATGTCTTTTTGTAACAAACCACTAGTAACAAAGTGCCTAAAGACAAATTCAGATGGATTCTTTGCTATGTTGCCTGTTTTGTATACACACAACACTGGCTCATCATGTGAAACATAGCATTAGATGGTCAGTTACAAGGACTAGGCTGAAAATGACAGGACAAGTGAAAAAGCAACAAATGTCCAAAGAAAAACTTTAAAAGAACCTCAGGAAGCCTGGAGAACTATTCTTTAAGACCACTTTAATCTTATGAAAAGGAAATCTTTTCTACATGAAAACAGAGTTATGGACTGAATCAGAGTGAGTAACTTAATGAGATTCATACTCGGTTACTGAAAACATGACTTTAATTATATATTAAAAGAAAAAAATAATATCCATGAAAACATGACATGAAGTTAAAATACATTTTTAAGTTCCTTTCTTAGTATTTACTGTTGGTCCTGTGTTTCTTTCTTTTGTCTCAGCCTTTCCTCCTGCAGTGAAATGTCCAGGGCTCTGAGCTGTTTTAAGAAGCCGTGATTGGGCAGGATACAGCGGCGCTGTCGCACATGCTCAATTGCGTCCACTACAGTTAAATTGTGTTTCATCATCAGGTATGCCAGGACCAGTGTCGCTGACCTGCTCCGGCCCATCACACAGTGCACCAGGACCTTGTCTAGAAAAAATGAAGATATATGGATTTATTAGAAACAAACAAACTTATCCTCCAGATAATGAACTCAAAGGTTTCCTCAGAGTCCCGGAGGACTCACTCTGTGGGTGAGCGAGGGCCTCGTGGATGAAATTTGCTGCAGGCCTGAAGTACTGGGACATGTTGAAAGTGGGTTTGTCATCAGCCTCTACACCATAATACTGGATTTCCATGTCTCTGTAGTACTGAGCACCAGTCAGCACATTATTCCACTTTCCCTCTGCTGCATTCAGGATATGTGTAATCCCCAGATCCTTCAGACCAGGCCGCTCCAGAGCAGTTTTCCTGTGTTTATGCAAACACAGACTCAGTATGAAGCTGTCATCATGAACTTTTGACACAATTGACTGAATAGTTGTATAAGGGCTGATAAGTACAATGACATCTGCAGTACTCAGATTTACGCACTCATCCCCGATGTAGACATCTGGCCAGACCTCGTTGAAGTGTGTGTAATGAGCTGTGGTGCCGGTCCAGAACAGCTGCTCAAGGTCTAATGTTCCTGGAGTGATGTAAGCGCTGTCTGGGTCCACCTGAACAGCTGCATATGGGTTTCTACTTCTGGACTTCACCATGCAAGAGGACATTGTTTTCCTGTGCTGTCCACAACACACACACACACACACACACACACACACACACACACACACACACACACACACACACACACACACATATGCCTGAAATTAATCACCTCCTGCACACTGCCATCTGTCCCAAAGCTCTACAGGGATCTAACATTACCACCTATATGCCAAGGATGTTTATGGAGTCCATGAGCATTTTTTCCTAAATACTTATCAGTCATTTATAAGCAACATGCCAAAAATTAACCGGCTCCAGCTTTTCCAATGTAAACATCTGGTTTTACCTTTTTCCAAGCTGTAGTTTTTCCTTTCTGTTTTCTCTCATTTTTGTTGAAACAAAAAGCAATGAATCAAAAAATGAACGATCAATAGTAAAAATAACTGTAAACCTAGTACATCACCCACAGAAACAATGGCTATAGAAGATGTAGGAAGACCAGACTTTTAGAAAAAATTATGTTGTAAAGAATATTTAAATAGTTTTATTAATTTAGGGATTTTACAAATTCATAAATGAAAGCAATATTCTCTTTTTGTATGCCAGTTAAGATTAAATTATTATTAAATACTGCATGCAACTTTGAAATCAGTGTTACTATGGAAACACATTAAAAAATATGTCTGTAAGTAAGAAACGTGAAAAGGGGTTTAACTATGATTGTCCACGATCACACAAACCGTATGTTGTCATTCAGTATTCTGTGTAATATTGTTGTGTATTATTGTGTGCGCAACACATGCTGTTTCTTGGATGTCACGTACAAATTCAAGCGACAGACGTGACATTTTCTGTTTGCATCATCGCTGCTGGTGCTGCTTAACTGATCATACATTTTGCAATATTAATAATAAACAATAGCAGAATAGTACACGAGATATCGGGAGCCAAATAGGAATTTAAATGACTTTTTTTAATCTCGCTCTCCGCTAATAGATTCACATTAATTATACCAATTGTTCAAAGCTTTTAGGACCCCTGCATTGGCAGCCTTGTTCTTCATCTAGTCACACTTCATACCAAGCCCTTCATGCACATTCTTTGAAACACTGTTCACACTGAAGTCACACTGAACTGAAACCACCAATGATCCACGAGGTGTGTGACATCAAGTCGGGGGGGAAAAAAACAGATATTAAATAAAAACGAGCAATTTAGTATAAAGAAACGACTCACCTCTGTTAAATGTGGATCGCAGACTTCTACTTTCCTCAGTGGATGTCAGTGTGTGTGTGTGTGTGTGTGTGTGTGTGTGTGTGTGTGTGTGTGTGTGTGAGAGAGAGAGAGAGAGAGAGCGAGTTTGTGTCCGGTGGCTGTACATGTGTGTGTACCAACAGGAACCTCCCTCAGGAGGAAGCAATGAAGACTGAAATACAGACCTGGAATGGTAACTGCTCTCTCAGGCTCAGTGTTTAACATGATATTTTTAGGTAGTTAGACTACAACACCTGATCTCTCCACATGGCATGCTTTCATAATGTAATCCTGTATATGAGACCCCTAACATGACAGCACGCACTGTTCAGGCACTGTTTTAAACAGAAACAAACTCAGTTGTTCAGTACGAGTGGCATCTTGCATCATCAGAGGAATGTCACTAATGTGTGGACAGCTGCAAGAATCAGTCACGATTCGTCAGTGCCGAGTTATTTCTGGAGGCCTGAAAAAGTCAAGGGAATAAAATAGGTGACACGCAGACCTTTTTTAAAGTTTTAATTATTTTGATAGAAACTAATTAAAATAACACAGGTTGCCAATCAAGGGAGGAATGAAGCGTTCCTGAGTGTGTTCATTATCAGGATGTGTTGGTACAGTCCTCCTCTGGGATCTGTCTGCTCTGTGTATTGAGGCTCAGTTCCAGCTGCCTCAGCTGCTCCAAAAAACCAGAGTTGGGTCCAATGTCTCGATTCAGACGCACAGCAGTGATAGCCTCCACTAACAACAGGCCCTGGCAAATCATCAGGTACGCCAAAACCAGCGCTCCAGAGCGGCTGACACCCATGGCACAGTGAACAAACACCTTCCCTGAAAGACATTTTGATCAGTCCTTTTAATAATAGCTGAAAGTAACTCGCAGATTGCTTAACATTAATGTATGCATGTCTATTTGCTTAGCCTCTAACCATTTTTCTTCAGCGCACTGTCAATGAACTGTGCGGCTGATCTGAAGAAAGGCTGGAGGTTGAACTCGGGGTGGTCTGCAGCTTCAACAGCGTAGTATTCCACTTTGAGGTCTCTGTAGAACTGCAGGCCTGTGTTAATGCGGTGTCGTCCTGCTGCAGCGTTTAGTATGTGAGTTATACCCAGAGATGAAAGTGTGATTTTATCTCGTGCCACAGACCTGCATACACACACGGCATACAGACTGATTTACTAGAATATCGTTTTTGATACATTTGAGTTTTCCACTCACTCATCTCCAATGTAGAGGTTTGGCCAGACTTGATTGACGGGTGCCACCGGCTTCCTGTTTGTCCAAAGGATGTTCCTCAGCTCTGTCAGAGATGCCGTTTCTTCCTGCCGGGCTAAGTGACTCCTGCAGCAATAAAGATGTGTGTGTGTTGTGTGTGTGTGCATATGTGTTTGCATATGTGGATGCTTATGGGTTTGTGTGTGACTGATTGTATCTTTACAGTGTTTGGGCCTGTCTTCGTCTCCTCCTCTCTCTCTCCAGGCTCATGTCGAGGCTACGGAGCTGCTGCAGGAAGCCTGGGTTTGGGCAGATGTCTCTATGCGGCCTGACAGCGGCTACTGCCTCCTGCAGCCTCAGGCCCTCAACAATCATCAAAAAGGCCAGCACCAAGGTTGCAGATCGACTCACGCCCATCAAACAGTGTACAAACACCCGTCCTGGGATTGAGATGATAAACATTACCCTCAATACCATTTATAGATATATAATGCTGTTAAAAAGTATTTGCCTCCTTCCTGGTCTGTTTTTTGTTTTTTTTTGCACATTTGTCACACTTAAATGTTTCAAATCATCATCAGTTTTTAAATTGTGATTTCATTCGTTACTACCTGGTATGAAAAAGTAATTGTCCCCTCTTGTTAAATCATGAATTAACCATGATTAACAGCATTTTTTGGAAAGCTAAGTTCAGTTTCACTCGCCTGATTACTGCCAGGCCTGATGAATCAAGAACTCATTTCAATAGAACCTGTCTGACAAAGTGAAGTAGGCCAAAAGACCTCAAAAAGTAACACATCATGCCGAAATCTAAAGAAACTCAAGAACAGATGGGAAACAAAGTCCGAAAAGTGTTACAAACCTTTGAAACTCCAGCAAATCACAGTGAGGGCGCAAATGCACAAATGGAGGAAAACTGGAATATGTCTGAACCTTCCCAGGAGTGAGCAATGTGGGTAGGTTTTAGACCTGTTACATCTCCTGCAAAACTAGCACAGCTTTTCATATAAGAATGTCATACCAACAGTCAAACGTGGTGGTCGTTGTGGGGCAATCACTTTTTCACATAAGGCTTGAAGAGCTTGAAGAGCTTGTTCTGCTTAATAAATGAAAGCTGGAGCCAGAAACCAAATCTAAATCCAAACTAAAATAAGGATTCCTTATTTTAGTCAAGAATAAAATCTAATCTCATTAGATGGTGTGGCTGTATGACACTGAGATCTAATCCAGCCACATGCTGTAACCCTGCCCACTTGCCTCCCATGGCTAGTGCAGCTCTGATGTATCTTGCTGTTGGATAGAAGAATGGACTGAGGATGAAGTCCATTGCATCATCAGCTTCAACACCATAATAATCCACTGACATGTCTCTGTAGAAGCGCGGGCCAGTGTTGACGTAGAAATAGAGCCCGTGGCCTGGGTTGGGGGTTCCATGAGCAGCATTTACAATGTGAGTAATGCCCAGATTGTGAAGAGTGCCCTTGTCACGAGCTGCTACCCTGAAACACAATAGCACACTCAGTGCTGCACGAGTGCAGAATGTTTATAGATGTGTGTGCATGTTAATATGTGCACGCATACTCATTGCCTATGTAAAGGTTAGGCCAGACTTGATTGACATGTCCAGTCGGTCGTCTGTCAGCGAGCAGAAACTCCTGCAGCTCTGAGACAGAGGGAGGTTCATACGGAGGATCCCTAAGAGACATACTGTACAAACACACAGACACTCATAAATCGCACAAACACATGTCATTTATTAGCCCTTCACTATGAAAAGCTTCTGTAAATGTTAATGTTTGTTATGTAAACTTATTAGTCATCCCAGCTTCTTTTAACAACACACAGACCTGAGAGTGGGATTTTCTCAAGATGCCACACATGCTTTCTTTCTAAATGTTTCTTACCTGAAAGATCCCCCAAACCAGCCCAATCTCATGAACTTACCTCACTTCGAGGCGCTTCGGTTTCCTCTCCTACTCTGCCTGCTCTTATTTGTTCATCACAGTCACACATAGCTGGGGTTGTTTCCTTTTATAACTCTGTAATCATACACTCAAAAGTGACAAAGTTATCTAACATACTGTGTTCACTGTTCAGGCACTCAAAACCCATTTTATTCATGGTGAATGCAGACCTGATGTTTCATTCTCATGGGGCAACCCTGAGCCTTATCCTGTGAACTTTAACATTAGCTCACATGTTTCCACGATGACTGTGGACTGTTATGTAACACGTGGCTGCTCTGCGTGTGTCTGAGTTGCTACCCTGCTGCATAGTAAAGCCTGCTGCTCTGTCCCTTTAAGAGATGTGGATGATATTCACCAGTGATTTATTAGCTTTATCTGCTTTTAATCTGCTCATACTGATTTAGGCTGTTTACTATCAAATAACCAATTAAAGAAAGGAAGACTGCATGACCTTAGGCGTGCAATAGTGCAACAGTAACAGTTGGCATAACCTCACTTTTATTTTGGAGTTCTCATCCTATATTTTCTTTCTGGTCCCTGTCAGAATTATAATGTTTTTATCTTTTGGGTCTCTTCTTACTCCTGAGCAAACACCTGATGGCACACCTACACTTCATCATCCAATCAAGGCCCAGCACTATATCTACCAGTCTCCACCAGTTTGTTCTGTCAGCTTGTGTGGTAGCAGAAGTGCTTTTATCTGCTTTTTTCAAGCTGAATTTATTTCTTGTTTGTTTAACCATTTCCTGCTTGAACTCTTTCCTGTTGTTCAAGGTTTCCTCTGCGTGCGGACACAAAACCCACAGTGGTAATAGGTCTCCAGTTGGTCCAGACACTACCAATCTCATCCTGACAAATCAATTACCCTTTAAACTGCCACTTCAGAGTTGCCTTTCATGCATCTAAGTTCAACTAATGACCAAACTTAGTAAATAAACCTTTGCTTTGCCATCATTTTAAAACTGTTTATGTACACAGACCAGCCACTTTATTAGGTACAAGAATGTGACCGTGACTCAAAGTTTTAAAACAGGAACCAGTAAGTAATGTCACCATGGCTACTTCCATTTCGATACATACTCACGGGCCAGTCTGTTCAGTACACCTGTTTAATTGCTTGTTAATGCAAATATCTAATGACTTACATTTACATGGCAGCTAGTCATTGCATTCAGGCATGTACACATGGTGAAGGTGACCTGCTGAAGTTGAAGCTAACCACCGGATAGGGGACGAAAGGTGGTTTAAGTGACTTTGAATGTGGCATTGTTGTTGGCAGCAGACAGGCACCAACAACCTTAAATATTCCTGAAACTGCTGATCTACAAGTGGCTGCAGCTCAGGAGGTAGAGCAGGTCATCTACTAAATGGAAAGTTAGTGGTTAGATCTCCTATGTCAAATATCCTTGGGTAAGATACTAATCCAAGTTGCTCTGTGATGCATCCAAAAGAGTGTACATGAATGTTAGATAAAAAGCACTTACTTGGGGGGAAAAGCGCTTGTATGAATGAGTGTAAAGTTGTATAACTTCACATTATTGAATTTTTGAAGTTTTGTGCTCAGGTGAAGTAGAAAAACGCTATATATGAACCAGTCCATTTATCTAATGTGATTTCTCCACACAACTCTGTCTAAAAAGGTCATCTTGAAGCCAGACTGCTTCAAGCTGGTACGAAGGCAGTATAAAGTCATGTAACCACTTGTCAAGGTCAACTTGTTACAACAAATGTATGCAGAAGAGGACCTCCGAACGTATATCACATTTAACTTTGGCTTACAGCAGCAGAAGACCACAGTGGGTGTGGCTCCTGTCAGAAAAGAACAGTTTGCACAGACTCACCAAAATTGTGCAACAGCACACTGGAAAAACATCAGCTGT